GTCTTATGTTCTGGCATGGAGCCAAGACGGGGCCCATGTCTGATCTGTGGATGGAGGCCTTGCAGCCTCCTGGCCTCGCTTTCGAATGCAAAGAGCGACGGAAGGTCTGCTGACTGGTGATGCGCTAGCCACGACCATGAACTCAATGGGTGTTTGCTGAGGCGGGACGGCCAAGTGGGCAAAACAAGCTGATCTTCAGTGGGGTTAAGTCTGCGGGTGAGCTTCGCCAGCTCATCGGACAGCTCATTGCCCACTTCCCCGGAGTGTCCGGGGACATACTCTGAGTGTAGAGTAAAACGCTGGGCCGCGCACTGCCGGAGGTGCGTGGCAAACTCGGCGAGGTGTGACACACCCGCATCGCACTGCCACTTGGCGGGCTGTGATTGCCCGAAAGTTCCTCTGCCAGCGGCCAAACAATCATACTTGAAGATAATTGGGATATCCCATGCCGCGGCGCACTCAATCGCCCACGCCAACGCCCAAACTATGGCTAAGGTCTCGCATGTCAGTGGGAGGCCATCCATTTCCCCAACATGAAATGGGCTTTCCACCCGTTGGGTGGGGGCAGAGGAGTACCCTACGAAGAAGAACCCATCTTCGGCAGCCGCCCAAACCGTAAAGGCCCAAGCTCCGTCATCAAGCTGGTGGCCAGATGCGGGATCCACGGAAGCTGAGCCATCTGTATAAACATGTATGGCGACCAAATCCGGCTTCGGATTTTGGTCCCTCCAAAGGGCGATTTCCCTGAACTGGTTCCTCTTTACAGGTGGGACTGCGGGGTCGGTACAGATCAAACGGATGTCTGCATCGAGCCAGTCCTCCTCCCCTGATCGGGTGCTCGTATCCCTATGTGGCACTATAGCCTGGAGATGCTGGACGGTCTCCTGAAATGCAGTGCAGGGCAGGGACTGGGCCAGGCTCAGCTGTATCCGTCTTGGATCGCCTGGCACAGCATCCTGAAAATGTTCCTCCAGTGTTTCGAGGAGAGTGGCCGCAAGGAAGTAGGGGCTGGGATCTCGCTTGATGCTGGCTTCTAGCACTGTCTCGAGCTGCTCTTCCT